AAACTGACAACAGCCAGACTGTCAACTACAGCCAACTCTGGTGGGTCTTAGGTTCTGAGGCCCCTGCGCCCCCTGCTGGCCCCTCAGAGAGGCTCTACCCTTTGGCTTCCTCTTTTCCAGGAAGCCGCCTGGTGCTTCCTTCTTGTTCCCAGCGCTATTTAACCTGCCCCTTCCTGCCTCACTCTTTTTAATCTTTTCACCTTTGAACCTAGGCCAAGCTTCTCCCTCTCCTTCCATAACCTGGGCTTCCTCCTTTCTGACAAAAACCTGAGTGTGACCCAAGGTTTTCGTTCTGTTTTGTTTTTTGTAGTGTATGACCCAGCCTCTTGAAGAAGCCCCTCAGAACTCTCCAAGTGGCAGCCTGCTGCAGCCAGCACCTCAGAGCAGGCTCTGCTGCTGCTTCCCAGAGGGGCATCCAGCTTCCAGCACTTCCGTCTCCCTCTGTCTCTCCTACTGCAGAAGCCAACTCGTACAGAGCCTCTGGGATTGGCCCCTCTGGCTCTCCCACACCAGCCCTCCACTCCACTCCAGACTGGACCAGGAATATCTTCTCTCTCCCTCTCCGTTTCTCTTCTCCCACCTCCTCTCTCTCCCTCTCCCCTTCCAAATCCAAACTGGCCACTAGGCAAGTTCTAACGGCTCCAGTGTTCACACTCCAGCCCATCCCCACCATGCCCTCCCCTGAAGCTCCTGCTGCCAGGTCATTGCTGTGCCAGTTGTCTCCTGAATGTTTGTCTTCTGAAATTGGAAGCGTCTAGAGGGCAAGGATTTTTGCCTCCTACAAAGCCTAGGGCAGTACTAGGCTCCCAATGGGCACCTAGGATCACACTGAATGCTGATCTCCTGCTAACCTCCTAGCGCTGCCTCAGAACTCCATACCTGTGCAAGGTCCAGGGAGTGGCAGGTCCCGGAATGGCTGGGCCTCGAATTGTCAGATCACTGCAGGAGGAGGGAAGAGGCGATTTCCCAGAATGGATGAGAATAAGAGAGAGGATTTTATTTTCAGAGAGATGGAAGGGAGGTAGGACCAGTCAGGGGTGAAGTCCCTGGGTGTCAGTCATCACGCTGGTGGAGAAGCCCAGCGGTAAATGGAGGACGTGCATCC